CAACATTGTCATGGGACCAACACTAGAGATTAAGACCATCTTGTCTTTAGTGTCCCTTCAAGGTCTTAGTCTGCTATGGCAACATTGTCATGGGACCAACAGTAGAGTTTAAGACCATCTTGTCTCTAGTGTCCCTTCAAGGTTTTTGACTACTATGACAACATTGTCATGGGACCAGGAGTAGAGTTTAAGACCATCTTGTCTCTAGTGTCCCTTCAAGGTTTTTGACTACTATGACAACATTGTCATGGGACCAGGAGTAGAGTTTAAGACTATCTTGTCTCTAGTGTCCCTTCAAGGTCTTAGTCTGTTATGGCAACATTGTCACGGGACCAACAGTAGAGTTTAAGACCATCTTGTCTCTAGTGTCCCTTCAAGGTTTTTGACTACTATGACAACATTGTCATGGGACCAACAGTAGAGTTTAATTTATGAAGATCCACTTCTATATTTCTGACATAAAATACCCATGCTCCACTAGGGGATTGAAAGGCCTCTTAATAATTCACAGAGGACCCAATGTACTTTCAAAGTTTCAAATGTGTATGTGTGTTCTATATAAAGGAAGTTTTGATGGAGTTATCTTCTTGTATGCAAGTTTAAAATTCAAATAGATACTTACCTCAATGATATTATTGTGGCACTGATAAATATATGTCACAAAGGTAATGATGCAAAATCTATACTCAGAAATGGAAAATACGTACAAGTCGAGTGGCCTGGTCAGTACATAACATGTGGCTGTGAATAATTATATCTCAGTACATAACATGTGGCTGTGAATAATTATATCTCAGTACATAACATGTGGCTGTGAATAATTATATCAGTTGTCACATGAAGGAGTTTTCACTGGTGTAACAACAACTAAACAGTGTTAAGTGTTCACTGTAATCTGGGAAGGAAGGAAACTAACATAGTTAACCAGGATAGTTGGTTACTGTAGAGTTAAGTACATATTTAAATGTTACTTTGGCATTAAATATTTAATTTTAAGCAACGGCATTTAAGAATATTTTCTACAAAACAGCTCATTTGCCATGAGTTATAAATGAACATTCATTTATTAGATTCTTGAAATGTGGTATGTGGCTCATGTAATTGAAATCACATGTGAATGCCAATTTTTGTTCTTTAAGTTATACATTGTTTCAATGCTCTTAAGTTCTTATACTTAATGCATCTTTAGAATTAATAGATGTGGTTTTTGTTTTGTTTTAGGGGGGTAAGGACGTTCTCAATTTGGTGAATAGCCAAGGGGGAGAAAATGAGATAACTGTGCTATCTGAAAAAAAGTTGTTCCTTGGACAGAAGGTATCGTTTCATAGAATTAATTCTGTAAAAAAACAAAGAAAAATGCTGAATGTATTCTAACTACCAATTATTATTTTGTATCTCACAAAGAATAACCAATTTTCATATTTTTAAAATTGATTTCTAGATTGCTAGGCTATGTATAGAATAAAGCACACAAACATATTTATATTTTCAACTCTAAGGTATGGTACATTATCTATAGGAGAGGTTATCCTGCCGTTTGTTGGAAGTCCATTCGATTTTCTATCTGTAAAATCTGTATTTTCTATTCAGATTTATTTCTATAAGTTTCATGAAGATACAGTTGGAAATTAATATTATTTAACATCATAAATAATCAATTACTATGAATTAGTCAAGGAAGAGCCTGTAATTAATAATCTAATGTTATTTTTGTAACGTAAAAGATTCAAATCTTAAACATACATTAACATCTCTCTAAGTACTGGTGATCTTGTAGAAACATACGTTAGCATCTCTCTAAGTACTGGTGATCTTGTAGAAACATACATTAGCATCTCTCTAAGTACTGGTGATCTTGTAGAAACATATGTTAGCATCTCTCTAAGTACTGGTGATCTTGTAGAAATATACGTTAGCATCTGTCTAAGTACTGGTGATCTTGTAGAAACATACGTTAGCATCTCTAAGTACTGGTGTTCTTGTAGAAACATACGTTAGCATCTCTCTAAGTACTGGTGATCTTGTAGAAACATAAGTTAGCATCTCTAAGTTCTGGTGTTCTTGTAGAAACATACATTAGCATCTCTCTAAGTACTGGTGATCTTGTAGAAACATATGTTAGCATCTCTCTAAGTACTGGTGATCTTGTAGAAACATACGTTAGCATCTGTCTAAGTACTGGTGATCTTGTAGAAACATACGTTAGCATCTCTAAGTACTGGTGTTCTTGTAGAAATATACGTTAGCATCTCTAAGTACTGGTGTTCTTGTAGAAACATACGTTAGCATCTCTCTAAGTACTGGTGATCTTGTAGAAACATAAGTTAGCATCTCTAAGTACTGGTGATCTTGTAGAAACGTATGTTAGCATCTCTCTAAGTACTGGTGATCTTGTAGAAACGTATGTTAGCATCTCTCTAAGTACTGGTGATCTTGTAGAAACATATGTTAGCATCTCTAAGTACTGGTGATCTTGTAGAAACATACGTTAGCATCTCTCTAAGTACTGGTGTTCTTGTAGAAACATATGTTAGCATCTGTCTAAGTACTGGTGATCTTGTAGAAACGTATGTTAGCATTTCTCTAAGTACTGGTGTTCTTGTAGAAATATACGTTAGCATCTGTCTAAGTACTGGTGTTCTTGTAGAAACATACATTAGCATCTGTCTAAGTACTGGTGATCTTGTAGAAACATACGTTAGCATCTGTCTAAGTACTGGTGATCTTGTAGAAACATACGTTAGCATCTCTAACTACTGGTGATCTTATAGAAACATACATTAGCATCTCTCTAAGTACTGGTGATCTTGTAGAAACATATGTTAGCATCTCTCTCTAAGTACTGGTGTTCTAGAAACATACGTTAGCATCTGTCTAAGTACTGGTGATCTTGTAGAAACATACGTTAGCATCTTTCTAAGTATGATCTTGTAGAAACATATGTTAGTATCTCTTTGAGTACTGGTGTTCTTCTAGAAACATACGTTAGCATCTCTCTAAGTACTGGTGATCTTGTAGAAACATACGTTAGCATCTCTCTAAGTACTGGTGATCTTGTAGAAACATACGTTAGTATCTCTTTAAGTACTGGTGTTCTTGGGATTGCAGTTATATTAGTGATAACTACTAATTCAGCAAATAAAAGTAGTATTTAAGAATAAAACTTGTACTAACTTAAATCTACAAATGAAATTTTAAGATAAAAGTCGGTAAACATTGTTTATGGAATAGCATCAGTACAGCTTTGACACACAGTCATGATGCTGAGATATCCTGAGATGAAAGTCGGTAAACATTGTTTATGGAATAGCATCAGTACAGCTTTGACACACAGTCATGATGCTGAGATATCCTAAAATACTATAAAGATTATTGTTTATTCTAATTAATCAGATATTAAAATACTCAACGGGCAATGTTATGTAATATCCAATTAAACTTTTATTTAAAACCGATTAAGAATTGTAAAAAAGGCACTCTACATGTTTCAATGTCAATCGCATCATCCTCAGGATTGTGAAATACAAATGCTGTGGAACATATAAAAACCATAATCGTGTGACTACTAATTTACATATTTAAAAAAGATCACACCATCTACATACTGTTTGATTTTCTAACCCGTCATCCTTATTTAAGATGAAATTATTTTCATGGTTTCTAGCTATTGAACATTGAGTATTTTAATATATTTTCCTTGAATTTTAGCCGTTAATTAATCTTTTCTTTTTTTTAGCTGACAGTTATTCAAGGTGGTATTGTGGATGTGTCAGCTGATGCCATTATTCATCCAACTAATGCATCTTTCTATCTTGGTGGTGAAGTTGGTAATTACTATTTCAACTTTATTCTCACAGCTCCTTAAAATTCTGGAAAGTAGTGGAAAAGTAGCCCTAAAAATTTTAGTATTGGAAGTCCTGTAAAGCTACGAGGTCCTGTAAAAGTCCAGAAATTTAATTTAAAAATTAAATGAAAAAAAGGTTTTGTTATCAGAATCAGGTTAGTTTGTATTTCACGTCGGCCATTGTGCCTTGTCTATTGATGGATATAAACTGTGTCCTGACTTGTTCAGTGAACGAAGTTAAGTTTTTAAAATGATAGTGATTGAACAAACAAAACTAGGAAGTTAAATTGAAACAAAGCTTTTGTAATTCAGTTAATTATGTTCTGCATGAAGTTGTGTTGTTCAAGGTAGTAACCCAAAGATACTAACAACAATTAATTATTAATGAATTACAGTTGGTCTTAATTACTTATTGTATTACATATGTGTTTCACCTGCTACATTAGTGTATTAAGGTAGTAACCCAAAGATACTAACAACAATTAATTATTAATAAATTACAGTAGGTCTTAATTACCTATTGTATTACATATGTGTTTCACCTGCTACATTATTGTATTAAGGTAGTCACCCAAAGATACTAGCAACAATTAATTATTAATGAATTACAGTTGGTCTTAATTACCTATTGTATTACATATGTGTTTCACCTGCTACAGTTGTGTATTAAGGTAGTCACCCAAAGATACTAACAACAGTTAATTATTAATAAATTACAGTAGGTCTTAATTACCTATTGTATTACATATGTGTTTCACCTGCTACATTAGTGTATTAAGGTAGTCACCCATGTAATACAATAGGTAATTAAGACCTACTGTAATTCATTAATAATTAATTGTTGCTAGTATCTTTATGTGTTTCACCTGCTACAGTTGTGTATTAAGGTAGAAACCCAAAGATACTAACAACAGTTAATTATTAATGAATTATAGTAACCCAAAGATACTAGCAACAATTAATTATTAATAAATTACAGTAGGTCTTAATTACCTATTGTATTACATATGTGTTTCACCTGCTACATTATTGTATTAAGGTAGAAACCCAAAGATACTAACAACAAAAAATTATTAATGAATTACAGTAGGTCTTAATTACCTATTGTATTACATATGTGTTTCACCTGCTACAGTTGTATATTAAGCACCAGACTTTTTTTTATATATAGTGGTTAGGAGGTGAATGCTAGAAATTTAACTATACTTTCTGTCTTTTGCCGGTATACAAACACAGATTGTAAGCTACAATTTGAACCAACTTCTTCACCCAAGAAACTGCTGGTAATAAAGATACACTACTGAGGGTGTTAAAACCTTTTTAAGTATAGTTTTATTCTAGTTTTCCCAGTATCTTTAAAAGTTTTCAACTGCTAGATTCTTGATAATTCTGTTTTCGCACAGATAGTTCCAATCGAGCAAGTTTTGAACTTGTTGTTATACCAACGACGGGTTATGTAAGTTATGTGGAAGAGAACAAGCATTAAATTGAAAAACATATTTAATCAAACCACTTAAGTGCCATTTATAGTTTTATTGAAACCATTAAAGTGCCATTTATAGTTTTATTGAAACCACTTAAGTGCCATTTATAGTTTTATTGAAACCACTTAAGTGCCATTTATACTTTTATTGAAACCACTTAAGTCCATTTATAGTTTAATCAAACCATTTAAGTGCCATTTATAGTTTTAGTGAAACCACTTAAGTGCCATTTATAGTTTTAATCAAACCACTTAAGTGCCATTTATAGTTTTAATGAAACCATTAAAGTGCCATTTATAGTTTTAATGAAACCATTAAAGTGCCATTTATAGTTTTAATCAAACCATTTAAGTGCCATTTATAGTTTTAATGAAACCATTACAGTGCCATTTATAGTTTTAATCAAACCATTTAAGTGCCATTTATAGTTTTAATGAAACCATTACAGTGCCATTTATAGTTTTAATCAAGCAACTTAAGTGCCATTTATAGTTTTAATGAAACCTTAAAGTGCCATTTATAGTTTTTGATTAAACTTTCAGGAATAGTTGTAGGCTGACTGTTGATCTATTTTTAGCAAATCAAAATTTAAGGACAACAAAGGACCTGTTTGTCCATCCCGACCATCTTGTCTACTAATCTAAATTAAATTTTTTAAGAAACAAATTTAAAGTTAACAATGCTGTTAGAAAAATAAAACAGTCTTTTCTGAAGATGACTCATTAACTACCAAGACTTATGTTTGTGTTCTATAGTTTTATCATTCTCAACATTAAGTACAAAGAAAAGATGATGCATTGACACTGTCGATTTTCTTAACAATCTTAAACACCTCAACCAGATCCCTTTAACTCTTCTCAGAGTTCTTAATTTGTCTGTGTTTGTCCATCCATCCCATGTATCATCATAGTAGTCTTTCTCTGAATCCTTTCCAACAATTCAATTCAGTGTCCTTTCTAAGGTAAGGAGTCCAAGATTGAACACAATGCTCCATGTGCAACCTAACCAGTGACATTTTTGGACTTGTATTCAGTATTACAACCTAAAATCCTACCACTAACAACAGTACATTCGTTGAATGTCTTAAGAAACTGATCATTCAGAGCACTAAGATATTTTCTGCCGTAATACAGTTAAGGTTATTCCCCATCAAAATTATAACTTGGATTTATTATAATTAAAAACCATTGTCCATTATTTGCTCAATACAGTTAAGGTTATTCCCCATCAAAATTATAACTTGGATTTATTATAATTAAAAACCATTGTCCATTATTTGCTTAATACAGTTAAGGTTATTCCCTATCAAATTAAAAATTTGGATTTATTATAATTAAAAACCATCTGCCATTATTTGCTTAATACAGTTAAGGTTATTCCCCCATCAAAATTATAACTTGGATTTATTATAATTAAAAATCATCTGCCATTATTTGCTCAATACAGTTAAGATTATTCCCCATCAAAATTATAACTTGGATTTATTATAATTAAAAACCATCTGCCATTATTTCATCAAATCGTTTTGTAAAGTAGCAGCATCTTTCCCATAAACACAGAATTTAATTCATGATGTTAGGAAAACATCAAAGAGTAAATTAAAAAAAAATACAAAATCCTTTTACCTTTTTTTGGGGGGGGTCAGTTTCAAAGGTAGGGAAGTGAAAGGTGAAGGGGTTGTGCATAAGGAAGAACGAACAGTAGAAGTATAAGAAGAACTGGATGCTTGTGGAAGTGTGTGAATCGAGTTAGGCTTGTTAGTAGAACCAGAAGTACTTGGAAGATTGCTGTGAGAGTTGTTAGATGGGAAGATTGAGCAGCTGAAGTACTAGGGTGTAAGATGTTGGTAGGGATCGAGTTGTGAGAAAACAAGAACTGATAGTAACTGATGAGATGATTGGGGTAACTTGGAGGACTGAGTGGATACTGTGAGCTTTAAAGTGTTTGAAGTAATGGTAGAGATACCAAAAAAGTTGAGGTGAAGACTGGGGGGATACTGTGAGATTTAAAATGTTTGAAGTCATGGTAGAGATACCAGAAAAGTTGAGGTGAAGACTGAGGGGATACTATGAGATTTAAAGTGTTTGAAGTCATGGTAGAGATACCAGAAATGTTGAGGTGAAGATTGGGGAGATACTGTGAGATTAAAAGTGTTTGAAGTCATGGTAGAGATACCAGAAAAGTTGAGGTGAAGACTGCGGGGATACTGTGAGATTAAAAGTGTTTGAAGTCATGGTAGAGATACCAGAAAAGTTGAGGTGAAGACTGGGGGATACTGTGAGATTTAAAGTGTTTGAAGTCATGGTAGAGATACCAGAAAAGTTGAGGTGAAGACTGGGGGGATACTATGAGATTTAAAGTGTTTGATGTCATGGTATAGATACCAGAAAAGTTGAGGTGAAGACTGAGTGGATACTGTGAGATTTAAAGTGTTTGAAGTCATGGTAGAGATACCAGAAAAGTTCAGGTGAAGACTGGGGGGATACTATGAGATTTAAAGTGTTTGAAGTCATGGTAGAGATACCAGAAAAGTTGAGGTGAAGACTGGGGGGATACTATGAGATTTAAAGTGTTTGAAGTCATGGTAGAGATACCAGAAAAGTTGAGGTGAAGACTGGGGGGATACTGTGAGATTTAAAGTGTTTGAAGTCATGGTAGAGATACCAGAAAAGTTGAGGTGAAGACTGGGGAGATACTGTG